TTTTTTTTCCTCTTCTTTCTTCTTCTACTTGAGCTCTGATCATCCAGTCATTGAAGCCAGGTCAAGTGGGTATTACCTGCAAGTGTGGGTCTTTTTGTAACTTTTTATTGTGAATTGAGTGAAGGTTTACTGATGAGATCATCAGTTTTGCAGTCACCAAATCCGACACTTTGTTTCTCAGTGATTACAATCCTCTCCATGTAACAACAGCTCTCCTGTTCCTCCCTGTGGTTTCTGCTTCCATTCCACCTCCTTCCCATCCTTTCTCGACTTTGTCCTTAGGCAAATGTTGCTCTTTTGATTTGTGAGTCAATGACCATTCCATGGTGAGCAGACCTTGCTAGGGTTGCGTCCCCTTTACTTACCTGTCTACTGCTATGAGTAGGGACCGACTCGATGGCACCTAACAACAAACTGCTTGGCTGAAAATTGGGCCACGAGGGTGAATTCCTTTCGCGACTTGCAGGGTGGTTCCTTCAGCCTCTTTCTGGCCAGTAAGCCCAGTCTTTTTAAAAATGTATATATAATTTTGAATTCTGTTCCACAGTTTCTCCCGCTCTATTGGGGACCTTCTCATATGATCCCCTCCACAGCAGTTGATGTTAGCCGGGCACCATGTGGTTCTGGTCTCAGAGTCGTGGAGACTGATGTTCACGTGTTCCGTTAGTCCTTTGGACTCATTCATTCCAAGCATCTTCAGTTTTCATCACTCTTCTTTCTTCCGCCATACATTCTTCTTCTTCTTTTTTTTTTTAATTGTTATTAAACTTTTTTTTAATTGTGAATTGGTGACAGTTTTATAGAGCAAATCAGTTTCCACTCACCAATTCATACATATTTGGCTTCTTGTCATTGACAATGAGAGGAAAGACAGCAAAACAAACAAACAAACAAAAAACTTGTGGGAATTGCAGTCAGTGGCATGACGCACTGTATTTTGAAACTTACACCTTGAAAGCTCCCTTGAAAATATTTCCATGTCACTACAGCTAGCTCCTGGTGTGGCACTATGGGATAAGCCCTGGACTGCTAACCAAAATATCTGCAGTTAAAACTCACCAACTGCTCCTGGGAAACCCTACGTAGGGTCGCTATGAGTCAGATCCGACTTAAAGTCACTTAACAACAACAATCAGGTAGTTCAAGAAATCTGATACAATGGTTGGGCATTGGGTTGCTAATCAGAAGGTCGGCAGTTGGAACCCACCAGTTGCTCCCATGGAGAAAGATGAGGCTCTCTGCTCCTGTAAAGATGTACAGCCTCGGAAACCCTATGCAGGGTCTTCTGAGTTGGAACCGACACCATAGCACACCGCCACCATCACTCTAGTATGAGTTACGTATGCGTATATGTCTGTATTTGGTGCAGTGGAATCTCTGGGTCATTGGCTATGCCCTTTGTGGATCTTGACAGAAACTGACAAATTACCTTCTTCAAAGGATTCTGACCAAACACAGTTGAATGCCCGTATTGCTGTATCACTCAAATTGCTTTGATCTTTGACCTTTGTTTTACTCTTTGACATCCTGATGGGCAAAATATCTTCCTGTTATTTCTTTTCCACTTTGAAAATGCTTACCACTAAGGCTGGGTAACTCCCCCCACCCAAATGTGTTTTGATGAACGATGCTTCTTCTGCGACATGCTCAGTCATGCCATTTGGCCAACTTTCTAATGGGTTGAGTCTAGGAAGGATTTCTCTATCTTCAATCTGTGTAGTTTATGAGTAAACGGTTGCTCGTAAAACACACAGAGAACAAATTGATGAATCTTGTCCCTTATGAAGTTTTCATTTTAAGACCTTCCCTACCCCAAGACAAATATATTTTCCTACATTTTCTTTTGATACTTCTATAGTTTCCTTGTTGTTTTGTTTTTTTTCTTCCCCTGTTTTGTGTATTTAAACATTTAGATCTTTAACTCATTTGAAATTTGTCTGGGGCAAATGGTGTGAGGTAACGATCCAACATTATTTTGTTTCCCCCAGAGAGATAGCAAATTGTACTAACAATTGAAATATGTTAGCCATGTAACAAATCATTGGACGTACTATTTTAAATGGCAGCTTTCTGGGTGAATCCACAGTTTCATAAGTAGGTCAGAGAGTTCAGGCATTTGTAGCTGTGTTTAGATTCTATATGCCGGTCCTCTTGTGTGCATCTAGTTTTGAAGGGCTCTGATTGTAGTTCACCCCATCCCCATTTTACAGAGTTGTAAGGCTGAGAAAGGTACCCAAGGTGACGTTCCTCCTTCCCCATCTCCCCTTCATCTCCTCGGGCCTCAGGAGGCCCAGACAGCTCCATGTATTCAATCCCCCCCAGCTTCACACTTGAAACCGTGGCTGGGGGCTCAGCCAAGCACAGTTGTGACTCCTGGGATCAATGTGACTTTGAGGTGCCGAGCTCCCCAACCTGCCTGGAGGTTCGCACTTTTCAAGGCTGGAGAGATCGCCCCAGTGCTGTTCCGGGATGTGGCTGTGGACTTGGCAGAGTTCTTCCTGGAGGAGGTGACCCAAGCCCAGGGAGGCAGTTACCACTGCTGCTACAGGAGACAAGGGTGGGGGCCAGGGGTCTGGTCCCCACCCAGTGATGCCATAGAACTGCTGGTGACAGGTGAGGTCCAGGTGGGGAGGGTGGAGAGGAGAAGGTGATGTGATGGGAGACAGAAGAGGGACCTAGAGACAAGGGAATACAATCTATATATACGAGGGGATTTGAAAAAGTCATGAAAAAATTGGATGAAAAGATAACAGAAATTTTCTATGAACTGTTAGAGGCCCTGTGTGTGTGTGTATGTGTGTGTGTGTGTGTGTGTGTGTGTGTGTGTATGTGTGTGGAAGATAGGAAGAGAGATGGAGAGATAGGGAGAGATATCTGTCTTGGAAAAAGTACATCCAGAATGCTCTTTGGAAGACAGGATGGTGAGATTTTATCTGACACACTTTGGACATGTTATCAGGAGGGACCAGTCCCTGGAGAAGGACATCATGCTTGATAAAATACAGAGTCAGTGAAAAAAAGAGGAAGAACTTTAATGAGATAAACTGACGCTGTGGCAACAGCTGTAGGCTCAAATATAGCAATGATTGGGAGGATGCTGCAGAACCAGGCAGTGTTTC